GAGAGAGAGAGAGAGAGAGAGAGAGAGAGAGAGAGAGAGAGAGAGAGAGAGAGAGAGAGAGAGAGGAGAGTAGGCGCGGGGCGGTGGCGCGAGGGGCAGGGTGCGTTTGAGCGCGAGCAGGAAGGAATGTTCGCCACAGGCACGAAACCTCTCAGCGCAAGGGCATTCCGTACGGCGCTCGCCGCAATCCTGATTTTTTTCTGTTTTCTTTTTTTTTGGTGAAAACGAGTATGCCGACCTAGCTACCGGGTTACAGGTCGGATTGAACATTGTCTGGTAGTGGGCCCGTGCTGTCCCAACGAATCTGCAACCTCCCCTACAGTCCTACCCTGCCCCGAGCCTGTCGTTTCGATCTTGTGGCCACAATATTTTTTGCTGCAAGGCTGAGGGCGTGTACTGGTGGTTTAAAGCACCCAAAGGAGGTCTGATAGAGGCAGGAACAGCCCGGTGGAGAGGTACTAGAGGCCGAGCAGCAAGAGTACATCATTTGGTGCAATGAATAGTCCAGTCATTCATGCAGCAGTCTTGCTCCTGCTCGACACAGAGGGAGATAGAGGAGCTCGAGGGTGAGGAAGAAGCCCTCCATGGCTATGGAGTAGTAGTGGGAGGTGGGAGAAGCCCTAGGCTATGGAGGTAGAGTTAGAAGACCTTCCAGCTGGGCTATGGAGGGGAGTAGAGGTTGAGGAAGGATGAAAGAGGTGGGGACTGACAAGGAGACTTACCTTTGCCTATGATGCACCTACATGTTCATTGTCCAGGTTGGCGCTGCATCAAGAAGCCCCCTGGTGGTTGACCAGTTGGGCATAGACTTCACCTAGAGGAGGGACATGAGAGTAGTTGCGATGTCCTTTAAACTTCCCTGCTAGCCATGGGTCTTCCGCCATGGCTTGTAGCCATACGACATGGAGTGGAGTAGGGGAGTGAGCTGATGGAGAGCTCTTTCTACAGCTGCAGTAAGGGGGATCATTCGTACATTGATTCTTCTTCATTCGTTCATTATTATTGTATTGTCTATTATTAAAGAAGTTGAGGATATGATAAGAGGGAGATGACGGTGGCGAGTGCAGGACAGAGATGACATTTGGTTCCTGCTTGTCTTCTTCTTCTTCCTCCTCCTCCTCTTCTTCTTCCTCTTCCTCTTCCTCTTCCTCTTCCTCTTCCTCCTCTACCTCGTCTTCTTCGTCTTTTCTTCTTCCTCTTCTTCTTCCTCTCCTTCTTCCTCTCCTTCTTCCTCCTCCTCCTCCTCCTCTTCGTCTCTTCTTCTTCTTCTTCTTCTTCTTCTTCTTCTTCTTCTTCTTCTTCTTCTTCTTCTTCTTCCTCCGCCTCCTCCTCGTCTTCCTCGTCTTGTTGTTGTTGTTGTTGTTGTTGTTGTTGTTGTTGTTGTTGTTGTTGTTGTTCTTCTTCTTCTTCTTCTTCTTCTTCTTCTTCTTCTTCTTCTTCTTCTTCTTCTTCTCCTCATCCTTCTTCTATTTGAATTGGGATTTATGGTATTGTCTCAAATTTGGGTTTTGCAACATGAAACCGACGTGGTCGTAGCATGAATGGTTGAAGTTCGAAATTTGTTCATTACACTGGAGAAATTCCATCAACGCCAGGTCAAGGAATTGGGGTTAAAAGGATGGCAGGGAATCCAAGGGGCGATCAATGCTGCTTTCTTTTCAAATTTCTGTTGTACAATTACTTGCTGGCATGAAAGGAACCGGACTCGTGCTCCCCAGAATAGAATGGAGCCATGGCCCATGGGCATAAATGGTCATGTTTGGATTCTTTGGATCAAAGTGAAATACAGAAAAAGAGGGGGGAGGAGGGGGGGAAAGTTGTGATTAGTATGATTCATTATCTACATTGAATTCATGGACTGATCTACCTTGGTGTCCTTCTGTTTGTGTCGATTTGTTCACCCCCCCTTGGTGGGGATGTTGCTGGGCATTTCGTTTCCAGTTTCTACGTGCATGGGGGCCGTGCATTTGTTCCCTTGGGATTTGCAAAGCTGACGCACCCAGTTAAATATGTCAAGGCATTCACCCCAAAACAAGTGAGCTCTTGTACCCATCTCTCTCTCTCTCTCTCTCTCTCTCTCTCTCTCTCTCTCTCTCTCTCTCTCTCTCTCTCTCTCTC